GCAGTTTTCCTTTTTTTTTTTTTATAATTAAAAATAAATATTACTATATAATTGTATATATTAATATATATACGTTAAATATATATATATACTTTTAATATTATAAAATATTAAAATAAATTCATATATTAATATATGAAATTTATTATTGAAAAAATAAATAATTAAAATATTTTAATATATATTGTTGCGTTTTTTGTTTTTTATTTAATTAAAAAAATGCAAATATATTAATTATATTAATATGTTTTATATTTATGTAAATAATAAATAATTAAAATATATTCATATATATTATTTTTGCATTTTTTTTCGCTTTTAATATTTTTATTTAATTAGAAAAAGTAAAAATAATATAAATATATTTAAATAATTTCATATATATTATTATATATATTAAACATGAAATACATTAAAAATTTATTATTAAGAAAAAAAGATATTAATAATAAAAATAAAAATATATGTATGTATATATTATTAATTAAAATATATTAATAGTTGAAATTAATAAATAGGTATGTTAATATAAATTAATCAAATTAATATATATTTTATACAAATATATTACTAAATTCATTATATTATATTATATTATATATATACATATATTAAAAAATTATAAATATAATTTTATGATCAATTGATATAATTTATAATATTATTTATAATTTGATGATCAATTTATAATTTTATACTAATGAATTAAAAAACTTTGTTTACTAATTAATAGGAGCGGGATGAGCATGTTGCTGAGTTTGAGGGTTCTGGACCCCGACACACGTATAACCGCTGTGTGGATGCTGCCGCTCGGCAGGAGATGGAGGAGAGGCGTCGTGAGGCTCTCCTGGTACAACTTGGGCAGACTGGCGGTTTGAGACCTCCCGTTCGTCCGATACAGAGTGGTCAGCAGTCCGGGCCACTCATTCCTGCCACTTCGGGGCGTCCCCTTCTGATACAGAGTGGTCAGGATTCCGGCTCAGTCATGGCTGGCAATTCGGGAGGTCTCGTTCGTCCGATACAGAGTGGTCAGCAGTCCGGGTCACTCATACCTGCCAGTCCGGGCCCTCTGATACAGAGTGGTCCGTAGTCCGGGCCACTCATACCTGCCAGTCCGGGCAATCTGATACAGAGTGGTCAGCATTCTGTCTCACTTATGCCTGGCAGTTCAGGACGTCTCCCTCGGATACGTATCACTCGGTCGCAGGGTTATTCTTCTGAGTCGGCAGTCAGAACTCCGACGAATGATGATGATGATGATGATGATGGTGATGGTGATGACGAGACATATGACTCTGACTCTGCGGCAGCTGAGCAGGACATTGTATCTCCCGACCCACAGGCACAGCCAGAGCGACCACAGGGTCCTGCACCTGCAGCCGGTGCAGGTAAAAGACTCGGTCGAGTTAATCCTCCACGACAGGATGGGGGTTGTTTTGCGGGCACTAGATCTTCCTCCGGTAAATGATTTACATATTTATTGTTGTTTACCATTATATATTTTTTTTATTAAATAATTGATACGGTCAGTAACAATATGTCGTATATATATTGATTGTTCTATTCTAATACAGGTGCAAGTAGCAAACGACCGAAGAATGACCCCTGGATCGTTACAACCCCCAATGCCCCGTGGCCCCGTTGACGGGAGTGTTATCCCTAGTTTTTTAGGGCACGTAGCCTCCCGTATGTGGACTGGAGAGCTCAGAGGCATGCTGAAATGCCAAAACAGGCAGGGAGCGCACGGTGAATTGAGGGGCTGGCTCGGAACGATGGTCCAGGATGCGCGTGATATGATCGTTCAGACATGGCTGTTACATTTGGCGTCCAACATGCATACTCACGTCGACACTCCACTTATTTCTGCATTTGTGGAGTGCTGGCAGCCGGATACCAACTCATTTCACCTGTCTTTTGGTGAAATGAGTATCATGCTGCACAACGTGAGGGCCATTTTGGGGGTTCCTGTGGATGCAGCGGTTGTGAGTGGGGACCCCGACGGCCTGACCTGCCAGGCGAACTGCATGGAGATCCTGGGGGTGGACCAGAGTGATCTGATGACGCGTCTTTGGGACAAGGGGTCGGTAACAAATCAAGTCGTTTTTTATGCATTGATAAAGAATGGCACAGCTCGGTTAGCTGAGCATGTGGCTATTGGCTGGTTGTGGGTGCTGTTCGCTACCACCTTGTTTGTAGATAAGAGTGGTAACAGGGTCAATCCCAAACTCCTGCACGAGATGATGGACAAGGTGCGGGAAGCTGGGACTTACTCCTAGGGCTCGGCTGCGCTGGCATACCTGTACAGACAGTTAAGTATTGCCAGCAGGGGGGACTCACAGGGAGTGTCTGGCTACTTGACTCTCATGCAGTCCTGGATATACGAGTACTTCCCCACCTTCCGACCCCAGCGAGCGCGTATGATCCCCGAGCCTGGCTGTGTCGCCCGATCAGCCTTGTGGAGCATGGCGGTGACGGAGCGGTCAGATGGGCGCCTCAAAGCTTTCCGTAGGCAACTTGACATTCTCACCACCGCCGAGGTGCGTTAAGTTGTTTTATTTACATTTAGATGAAAGTTATTTGAAATAATCGAATTGTTTCAATAAATGTTTTTATGCAATTGTGAACAGGTGTACTGGCTGCCCTACGACAGCCAGCCACATGACATTGAGCCTAGGACCCTTTATTCCGGATGCCTTAGGTACCAGGATATTGTGGAGCCGTACATGCCTCTGCGCTGGTTGGGTCAGTTGGGCTACGTGCAGACTGTCCCTCCCCGCATAGATCATCCGCTCAAGGCAGTCCGTGCCTGGAACTCTAGGTTGTACAGGGTTGAGCATGCTGATACTACTGCAGTGGATCACTGGGACCAGTTCCCGCAGCTGCATTCTGTAAACTTGACTCATTGTACTTCGACCACCGCAGATGATCCAGAGGAGGCCCATGAGCAGTACCAACAATGGTATGATCAGTTTTCTCATCCTAGACTCTTGCCTGACAGTCTGCCGGACGACGACGCCGTCCCTTTCGCGCCAACACCGATTATGTAAGTCGTTTACGAAATTTTAGTTATTGTGCTTTCATTACAATAGTAAGTCGTTTTTTAATATATATGTGATAATATTTTTACTTCTGCTTTTATGTGTAATGGGTGAATCGGTTATTCTCTGCATCATCAGACCTCCTGCGGGATTGCGAGATTGTTGATCCTGCTGTGGCGGCGCGTCATGCAGATACGCTGGCCCTAATAAAGGCGGATTGGGAAAGGACGCAGCGTTGATGTAATAAATGTTTTTTTTATATTTTATTTTGGATTTTGTTGTACGATTGAATGTTATTTGAATTGTTTTTTCTTTTTTTTTTTATTTTTTTTATTTTACTTGTTGTTACTTCATTTTATTTTCATCTATTTCCAAATGTTATACCACATTCCAACCCAAAAATTCCATAATATCACGTGAAACGGTAAACACGGCCAAATATCACAATAAATCGCTCATAATGCAGATTAATATAATGAATGTTATCAATCGCAACACACATAAGTCGAATATCATAATATATCAAACTCCAGATCCTCTACGAATATGCCGCCAATACTCGATCCTTGTCTGATACTGATCATCCCATCCTGCAACCGTCACATCTCGGAATGTCCGCCAAAGGTTACACATAGGGGGTAATGGACAATCAGATGACAGATTCAGACGAATGAAGTGTTTGTAAGAACCAAGATGATCTATGGCGATCTCGCGGTCAGGTCTTGTAGCCGTTGATGGTGTGCGTAGCGACAAAAATATCATACTATTGAATTCGATATTGTCATTTTTGTCACCACTGCCTAACAACACGACAAGTACATTAAATAGTGTAGCAATAGCAAAGAAGTCGCCTACAACTTCCATCCAATGCTCCTCGCCTCCCATCCCATCTTATCCGATCGAGTGCTCTGTCGGTTTCATGGTAAAACACAAGATCGTACAACTGTCTGTTGGCTGTAATCTCATTTGCAATGTTCCTTCTTACCACTGGCCACCTCCTCTGGTTCCTATACATGTAACTCGCAACCACCCGAAATCCGCAGTTCCCATCCGGCGTCACATCTAGATAGCTCTCTACGTAAGGGTGAATTACGTAGGGAATTCTCCAATAATGCGGAGATTCGTAGAAAATCGTCGAGAAAGTATATGTAATATCATAATAATTTCACGTCACAAATTAGATAATTGAACTTAAAAACATAATTAGTTATCGTTCAGATAAACAAATAAATAAGAAAAAAAATCACCTGTCGGCTCATCTGAATGTTGAGAAGACGAGCTTGTCGGTGCACACGAAGAACTGTTGTTACGCCCCACCGGACGACCTCTTTCCCTGTAATCCCATACCGATGGAGCACACGAAGAAGTGCTTTTTCGCCCCACCAGGCGACCTGTTTCGGTGTACTCCGATTGCGATGAAGCACACGAGGAAGTGCTTTTACGGCGTCTTTGTCTGTACTCCCATTTTGATAGATTGCGCTTTGTTGAATTGGGCTTCTTGGGCCGACCTCTCGGATTATCCTTCACTGCAGGTTCTTTGTAACCTTGTTGGTCGGGGTGAAGTTGAGAGTCGATGAACTGATTCACGTACCGCAGCGTCGCGGGATCGGCCGCTTCAAGCTCCGCGACAAGCCGATAAAAATAATCACGATCAGTCCATCCGCTCGCCGATGCACTCTGTTGACCGCAAAAATAATTTATTAAATTAAACAACACACTCTATATTCTGTACATAGTGTTAGGATAAGTTCTATAAATTAATTAATCTCGCAATTGTACCTGGGTCCGTCAGCTCTAGTGTGCACCAGAACCTGTGGATGAATTGGGTAGTAATTTCCATATCTATAGTGAGTACCTTCCTTAGCTCACAGGCACAAGGAAGTCCATGAGTGTACCAGAGTACACATCCGCAGCGATCGACAACCTCTTCGCTCAACTCTCGCATCCTCTTAAGTTCATAATTCAATAAATCCATGTAGTAATGCGAGACCCGCAATCTCAACGGCGCGAAAATGGGTTCCTTGTAACCCGTATGCATGTTAAGTCTCGAAGACTTCAGCGTGACCCTGGTAATACATTACATAACATTAGAACCAAATAAATAACGTAATAATAACACAGTAAATATGTATAACCTAAGGAATATACCTGACTTGAGTCATTTGAGACTCAACCTCCTTGTGAATCTTCTCCCACACCGTGTCGAGCGAACCGGTCGACGTGTTCAACCACCGCTTCAACGTAGCGTGGGCACTCTCCACCCTACACGACGTTGTGTTGCCAAAATGTAAAAAAGTGTTCGTCCACAATTTCACAAACTTCTCCTTGTGGACTAATCATGTCTGCTCCAAATAGCGTAGCACCTTAGTAAATTGTACGTATGTAGCCTTCAAATCATCTATCGCAGTTTGGTATTTCTCCAACGTGCTCGCCTCGACAACCTTCTTCCACTTACCGTGCGTGAACTTCTGAGTGAAGAGCTTATTATCTTTTGCTAGTCGATACACCCTGTCTTCCACATCCTTGTCGATGTGCCACGTGCAAAGTAAGTGGGCCGACTGAGGGAAATTCATCCGAATAGAAGTAATCAAACCCAACTCCCTGTCAGTGACAATGGCTGTAGGATGTACATCAGGAGGTAACATAAGTCTCAACCGCTGTAGGACCCAGTTATAGCTGTACTTGGTCTCGTTCTTGATAATTTCATAGGCAATTAAGAAGTTCTTGTTGCACGGCGTCATTCCAATCATTTCCACCAATGACATCTTGTACCTGTAAAAATGAAAGCAACATAGAATCAAAAAACCTATTCAAACATACTAATAATATTCACATTAAATTGGTATTTATAAAGTAACATAACATACCTGTTGGTTTTGTACGTGGAGTCTATACCGACATATCAGTAATATGTCCAAAACAGACTGGCGGATTGAGGATGCGACATGAAGACACGTGTCAACGCCTGTGTGTCCGGATCAACATCTACGTAATGTATATAGTTGTTGGCCTTAGCCAAATTCAGAAATTGGTCAACCACATCTCTACCCTGCAAATTATCTTTCCGCACTTTATGTCTATAGTTGTACACTTGTTTACAAGTAGCGTTGTCTACAGGGTTTTGCTCCTGAATCGCGGCCAAAATTGCTGCCGGTCTTGCCTGAGCAGAAGTCATATCACGGACATTCTTTTTGGATGGATCGCTAAGTCCGCTCATCTGTCGATGACCCTCGGGATTAATAGCCAACACATGATTATGCTTTCCCTTCTCATCATCTAAAGGAACCGAGATATACCATTTTTTTGATTGAGAATCAAATTTGACTCTTAACTGAAAAAGACAGTTGGTCGATTTAGTTTTCAATTTTCTCATAATAGCATTAACTACCTTTCCTACACGGCTTCTGTAAGGTTCCCCCCGATCACACCTCAACAACCTATTCTTTCCTTCTTTTTCGTGTCTCGAGATGACCAATGAGAAACCCCATATGATTGCAATATCTTTTGCCCATTCAATAGCTTCGTCAACACTATCAAATAGATTAGTTGTTGTGAAACAAGGTCGGTAATCAAGGCCGTCTCCTCCAAAATCTTCGACCGGCGTCTGCAATATATTATGATGTATGTTAATAATTTTACAAAATAATCAATTATAATTCTAGCATAATATCAATAAATTTTATTTTTTAAAATAATCAATTCTAATCAAGATGTTATTATAATAATTAGTACAATAATACTAGTAACTATACTAATTACTATGTTAGTATAATAAAAAAATATATTTGTAATTAGTATAATCATAATGAATTATATTACTTATAATATAATTTATATGAATTATATTACTTATAATAAATTATATTAGTTATATTAGTATAATTATATTATATATTAGTAATTACTATTATAAGTTATAATAATCATACTAATTACTATTATAAAAT